GATGTGTTAATCACCAACACCTGGCCCACACAGGAGGGCAGAATACGCCCAAACCGCCTTACCTCTCATTTCCGCACTAACCCCCACTAAGTCACTAATTAGTTGGGGCGAGCCACTGTCCACCTGAACCAGGGGGGGGGGGGGGGGACTGGAGAACCAGGAGAACAGATGGAATCAAGTAAACCAAAACAATAAGCACGAAGACGACAAGAAGGTGGGAGAGGACGTTAACTTTATTAGTACGAAGTGTTTATTGACAAAGCTTAGACAAAATTGTATATCATCTTAGGCGAACATTTTATTGCAGTGAGGCTGCATCTCCTATTTACTGCCCCCCCCCCACCCGACGTTGTGTTACAGAGGCCTAGGCTCGTAGAGCCTCTAGGCCCGTACAGAGGCCAAGGCTCGTACAGAGGCCAAGGCTCGTACAGAGGCCTAGACTCGTACAGAGGCCTGGGCTCGTACAGAGGCCTGGGCTCGTACAGAGGCCTGGGCTCGTACAGAGGCCTGGGCTCGTACACAGGCCAAGGCTCGTACAGAGCCCTAGGCTCGTACAGAGCCCTAGGCTCATACAGAGGCCTAGGCTCGTACAGAGCCCTAGGCTCGTACAGAGGCCTAGGCTCGTACAGAGGCCTAGGCTCGTACAGAGGCCTAGGCTCGTACAGAAACCTAGCCTCATACAAAAGCCTAGGCTTATAATGAGGACTAGCTCCTAAGAGAAGTGCATCAGGTCACTGCTTTGAATATTCTCATTTCTCTCACGCGACAACACCGCGTGAGAGAAATGAGACATTATATTTAAGTGGAGGAGGCGTAGACTGACACAAGCAAGCTCGCAAAATAGAAATTTACACAATTTCCCCGAAAATCGCGAATTAGAGTTCTCGTTATAATGTTCTAAAGATTCCCAAAACATTAATACTAAAATAATATATGAGAGAGAGAGAGAGAGAGAGAGAGAGAGGAGAGAGAGAGAGAGAGAGAGAGAGAGAGAGAGAGAGAGAGAGAGAGAGAGAGAGAGAGAGAGAGAGAGAGAGAGAGAGAGAGAGAGAGAGAGAGAGAGAGTCGACAGAGAGGCATCGAGGGGTTGGAAAATGAGGAGAAAAGGATAAATAATTCAAGTCCTTTGGCCAACTTCCTGTGCATATTTTCCCCAGGGAAAACCAGTAGAGTGGGTCCAGACCGCTACCCGGAGGTCCAGACCACCACCTGGAGAACCCCCGCTATGCCCCAAGACCAACACTAATATAGACGCTACGTTCACTTCCGTTCCAGCTCGTCGAACCGACCTTCTGAATCTCCTGTTTTATTTGCGTCGCTCCGAGTGACAGTTCCGTCATCAGTTGTTCTGACACACCGATTTGGTTTCTTCATTTTCTCCGAGCGGCTACTCTGAGAAAGGTGCTTCTTCGGGCGCTCCTTGAGCTAGTTGTAGTTGCTCCGAGCGCCCGTCCTCAAGAAGCCCTTAAGGGGGCTTCTTTCTGGAGCCGGTCCAATTTTTTTTTTTTTTTTTTTTGAGATATATACAAGAGTTGTTACATTCTTGTACAGCCACTAGTACGCGTAGCGTTTCGGGCAAGTCCTTAATCCTATGGTCCCTGGAATACGATCCCCTGCCGCGAAGAATCGTTTTTTTCATCCAAGTACACATTTTACTGTTGCGTTAAACAGAGGCTACAGTTAAGGAATTGCGCCCAGTAAATCCTCCCCGGCCAGGATACGAACCCATGACATAGCGCTCGCGGAACGCAAGGCGAGTCTTACCACTACACCACGGAGACTGTCCAAATGGGGCAGTCTCCTTTGGACCCAAATGGGTCCAAAGGGGTTGGCTTGCTTGATGACCGGAATACCCGTCGAGACTCCTGACACACTTGGAATCGGCGCCGTCCGCAGCTTTCGACGACCATGCTGGCTGTCAAATTCTTCTCTGGGCACACCCCGTCCTCTCAAGTTGTCACAACGACACAAGGATGACGTACTAAACTGCCCAAGCCTATCCTAACCTACAATTAGAAAATGGGACTTTAAAAACTTTAAATTAATCCATCAATCTCTACGTTTACTCTACTCCTCCTCCTCTTCCACTCTTATACCTCTCAATTTATTTTCGTCTCCTAAAAAGAAAAAAAAAGGACCAGAAAAGGACCTTAAGCTCTCAAGAGGTCACATACACGGAAGTAAGCAGCCTCTTCACGACAGAATGTCATTCTTTTCACCCCGCGCTTTCCGAAACTCCCCTCCCCCCAAAACTTTAAGTACCGGAGTCGCATTGGACACGGTGGACACGCTGGTGAGGGCACCACTATGAGGTCTAGGACACCCACACCTTCACCACCGCCCCTCCTCCCTAGGGTGACCGCGTGGCCGCCTACAGGTAACACTGCCCTGCACCGTCGCCACCTCCCTACACAATGCTCGCGAGAGGGGGGGAGCCTCTTAGAGTACCTTTGCCCTTACAGAATAGGGGGTGGGTTCATTAGGGGGCGAAACAGGCGCACAATAGCCTATTCCGTGAGGCTGCGTGTATATTACCGCACAAGATGAACAATATGTTCACATTATCGTACAAGATGAACAATATGTTCACGTAGCTGCAGTATGCCTTATGCAAGACACGGAGTCATACGTACTAAATATACAGGATAGACCGCATCTGTGCTTTTGTAAAGTTGTAAAAGGTGATACAAAAAAAGGGGGCCCACCTATTTTTGTACGTGTCGAAAGTGCTTATCTTTTACAACAGCAGTTGTCAGTTTGGAGTTTTGTGAGGGCGATGAGGGAGGGAAGGATGGAGGGAGAGGGGGGGGGGGATAATTAGAAGGAAGGATAGATGGAGGGGGGGAAGAGGTTAGGAAGGGGACGGGCGGCTTTGACATGTATATATCCCTAGCCTAGCATTGGCAACCGTTAACTTAGGCCCCTTAAACTAAGCTTAGTTGACGTCAGATTTAGATTGACTTTGACTAATGCAGTGACCCCTGACCTATTTGTCTATTATATCTCAGTTTGACATTATGAATGGAGTTCGGTCATTTAGTTCAGTCCAATTATAGTACTAAAGTACAGGAACCTCTAACACCCGTATGACTCACCAGTTTAACATCTCTTTTTCCCACTGTCATCCCCCCCTTCCCCCCTACGCATTTCATAAGTCTATCTCATGTGTTTATATAAATGTGCTGTGTGTGTGTACTCACCTAGTTGTGGTTGCGGGGGCCTTGTCTCTTTGGTCCCGCCTCTCAACTGTCAATCAACTGGTGTACAGATTCCTGAGCCTACTGGGCTCTATAATATCTACATTTGAAACTGTGTATGGAGTCAGCCTCCACCACATCACTTCCTAGTGCGTTCCATTTATTAACTACTCTGACACTGAAAAAGTTCCTTCTAACGTCCCTGTGGCTCATGTGGGTACTCAGTTTCCACCTGTGTCCCCTTGTTCGCGTCCCACCAGTGTTGATTAGTTTATCTTTGTTTACCCGGTCGATTCCCCTGAGGATTTTATAGGTTGTGATCATGTCTTCCCCTACTCTTCTGTCTTCCAGTGTCGTAAGGTGCATTTCCCGCAGCCTTTCCTCGTAACTCATGCCTCATAGTTCTGGGACTAGCCTAGTGGTATACGTTTGGACTTTTTCCAGCTTCGTCTTGTGCTTGACAAGGTACGGGCTCCATGCTGGGGCCGCATACTCCAGGATTGGTCTTACATATGTGGTGTACAAGATTCTGAATGATTCCTTACACAGGTTCCTGAACGCTGTTCTGATGTTAGCCAGCCTCGCATATGCCGCAGACGTTATTCTTTTTATGTGGGCTTCAGGAGACAGGTTTGGTGTGATATCAACTCCTAGATCTTTCTCTCTGTCTGTTTCATTAAGTACTTCATCTCCTATTCTGTATCCTGTGTCTGGCCTCCTGTTTCCACCGCCTAGTTTCATTACTTTGCATTTACTCGGGTTGAATTTCAACAGTTATTTGCTGCTGCGCGCGCGCGCGTGTGTGTGTGTGTGTGTGTGTGTGCTCACCTAGTTGTACTCACCTAGTAGTGTTTGCGGGGGTTGAGCTCTGGCTCTTTGGTCCCGCCTCTCAACCGTCAATCAACAGGTGTACAGATTTCTGAGCCTATTGGGCTCTATCATATCTACACTTGAAACTGTGTATGGAGTCAGCCTCCACCACATCACCACCTAATGCATTCCATTATATATATATCGATATATATATATAATGGATATATTATCCACACACACACACATATATGTGTGTGTGTGTGTGTGTGTGTGTGTAAGCAAGCAAGTAAGAAAGTTGAGAGTGTGAGTGAGGGAGTGTGTGACAAAGCTAGCAGCGCCTGTCCACGGTCTCTGCTCCACACACACAGGTACGCTGCGGGTAACCTCAAACCACCAGCCACAGCTCAGTCGCGCTTCATCCACCTGAAAATTTCATCCGGCTGTGAAGTACGACGCTACGCCCACTTGAAGGCGTTAAGCGGCCAGTGAACAAGCTACGGCAACTGGGTGCTTAAGCTTAAGGGTGATCTCTTAAGGAATGGCATGTCGGAATCAGGAGCGGTCACGTGACCTCTACAGCTTCATCTGTCTGGTGGCGAAAGCGCTCAGGTTACTTGAGCATTGATGCAGACACAAGGGAGGGGGGGGGGAGGGGGGAGCTGTGCGACGTGGATACACGCTAATGGGGCCCTTTAACCCGTCCCATTTTAATGGATCGTCAGGAACACCACCTCACGAGGCTCGGGGCTCACTAAACATCAATATTGCCTGGTTTATTTCTGATTAAAAACAAAATTTATTTATGTTTACGGAAACTTCTGGTTTCAACTCTTTTCACCATGTCATAGATCAGTTGATTAAAGGAGCGTCGGGGAGGATCTCGGACGTAGGTTCGAATCCCCATCACAGCCCTTGTGGATTTGTTCATTTAATATGTGACGCATTAATGAGACGGGTTGAACCGCCACCCGAGGGCGAGAAAGTCAACCTCAGCAGTAAACAATCCCATATCTGCTGACACAAACACTGCTCTTTTCTGTCATGTTAGGGGACTATAATTATCCCGTAGACTATGGTCTTCTAAAATAATCTTCCCCGGCTCGCTCGCTCTCTCCGTCACAGACGCCGTCTTGTCGCATGGGCTCCGATACTCATCGTGGCCAACACGGGCCTCAGTCCTGGCCAACACGGGGCCTCAGTCCTGGCCAACACGGGGCCTCAGTCCTGGCCAACACGGGGCCTCAGTCCTGGCCAACACGGGGCCTCAGTCCTGGCCAACACGGGGCCTCAGTCCTGGCCAACACGGGGCCTCAGTCCTGGCCAACACGGGGCCTCAGTCCTAGCCAACACGGGGCCTCAGTCCTGGCCAACACGGGGCCTCAGTCCTAGCCAACACGGGGCCTCAGTCCTGGCCAACACGGAGCCTCAGTCCTGGCCAACACGGGCCTCAGTCCTGGCCAACACGGGGCCTCAGTTCTGGCCAACACGGGCCTCAGTCCTAGCCAACACGGGGCCTCAGTCCTGGCCAACACGGAGCCTCAGTCCTGGCCAACACGGGCCTCAGTCCTGGCCAACACGGGGCCTCAGTTCTGGCCTTCTTGCTATCTCGGACTCTGGCCTTACTCTGATTATAACTTACATGCTCTAATCTTCTTAATAAACGCGATCTGATTTTAAATGTGATTTTTTAATTTCTATTAACTCTTAGGGTATACTTGAAGCATCTCGCCTATTACCTTGCATATTGAGTTTGCAACTTTCTCTACACGACGTGACTCGCTGTATGCACCTGACAATGGAGCTGGGAGCCGGTCGGCCGAGCGGACAGCACACTGGACTTGTGATCCTGTGGTCCCGGGTTCGATCCCGGGCGCCGGCGAGAAACAATGGGCAGAGTTTCTTTCACCCTATGCCCCTGTTACTTAGCAGTAAAATAGGTACCTGGGTGTTAGTCAGCTGTCACGGGCTGCTTCCTGGGGGTGGAGGCCTTGTCGAGGACCGGGCTGCGGGGACACTAAAAAAAAAAAAAAAAGCCCCGAAATCATCTCAATATAACCGCAAGATATGGACAGGGATGGACAGAAACCGTGTCACTTCCTTCATGTTCAGATGTGTGGCTTGAGAGTCTAATGTTCAGCCAGGCTATTGTCACTTACTGTCTGCAATCATAATGACAGCCAATTACATAGCGCTACAGTACCCCCTTCCCCCCTCCTCTCTTGACTGACCTCTCAAACCCCATCTCTCGCCCCTCCCACCACCCAACCCCCCCGACTCCCCGCCCCACCCCACCCCACCCCACTCCCAAACACTAAATAAAAACATATGACGTCACAAGGACTAATTAAACACGTGGTATCAAGATTTTTCTCCTCCCTCCCTCCCTCCCTCCCTCGTCCTTCTCTCTCGTCCTCCTCCTAATCAGGTCCCTCTCCCTCTATATAGTCCCAATGGCTTGGCGCTTTCCCCCTGATAGTTCCCTCCCCCCCCCTTCCCCAGAACCGTCAACACCCCCTCCCCCTCCCTCCATGCAAATGGGGCCCAACCACTCTTCCTGTACTATCCTCCTGGCACCCCCCCCCACCTGACTGGTTCCCACACCCACCTACAAGCCCCCCCCCCACCTGACTGGTTCCCACACCCACCTACAAGCCCCCCCCACCTGACTGGTTCCCACACCCACCTACAAGCCCCCCCCCAACTATCCACCTTCACCCCCCCCTTACACACGCTATTTTAGTTACAAACTAAACAACACAAGTTGTTGTTTTTATATTCAAGCTCGTTGCTTAAGCTTCGGAGCCTAAGTTGTTTAATAAACGTAAACAAAGCCGTGATGAATGAGAAATGATGCACAGGTTTCGTGAAAGTTAGATGGATTCTGGCTAAGAACGATGTCATCCAGGAACCTGATGTACTTGAGAACTTTTGATTTTTGTTGTTTGCGATCGTTAGGGAAGTCGGTGGGGAGAGGGGGGGGGGGGGGGGGGTGTTGGAGGGGTTTTGGAGGGAGGAGGGGTGTTGGAGGGGTGATGAAGGTAGGGGGGTAAAAGGATGTTGGAAGGGGAAGGAGGGGTGTTGGAGGGAGAGGAGGGGGGGTTAGGAGCGGGTGTTGGAGGGGGGGTGTTGGAGGGGGGTGTTGGAGGGGGGGGGGGGGTGTGGAGGGGGGGTGTTGGAGGGGGGGGGGTGTTGGAGGGGGGGGGGGTGTAGGAGGGGGGGAGGGGTGTAGGAGGGGGGGAGGGGTGTAGGAGGGGGGGAGGGGTGTTGGAGGGGGGGAGGGGTGTTGGAGGGAGAGGAAGGGTGTTGGAGGGAGGGGAGGAGGGGCTTAGGTTGTATACAAGCAGAAATGCGAAAAGTATGAAATCGATATTTAGCGTTTTTCCGATTCAGAAATTATGACAAATGGCCTATCGGCCAGGGTGAGTAACTTAGTAATCAATGGTGAGTACTGACTAATTACTAAATTAATAATGGCGAGTAATGTGATGACAGCAAGTGGTGACCGACTCGGGGCTAACTGGTGACTGATACTAGTAGACAAGGAAATGGTGCCTGGTGCTCTGAGACAAAGACAACTGGAGAGGCTGAGATGCTTACTATCTCCACTCACAAGATGAGTGACGCTGCCCAATAAACTCGGCCCTCGGGGCAAAATTTAAAAATTTAAAAGTTACAGAGAACCAGCTGAGGGAATCACGGTCGTGAGATGACCATGAGCATCACCCCCTCCATGGGAGTGGGTGATGCTGTTGACGACACTTGTGACCAAGAGGGCAACGCAGAGAGGGAGAGGAATAGGGCTATAAGAAGATGGAGAAGGAAAGGAGGAGGGAGGAAGAGAGAGGGGGGGGGGGGGATGCTGTAAATCTCAACCTGCCTACGGACCACAATGGGGGTCACCCCACCACTACACATCCCCCCCCCTCCTCCTACTCGCTGAGAACACCTCTTCAAAAAGGTACACAGGTACACAACTACAAAGGTACACTCATACTTCCGTGGGAACTAACACCGTCGCTTCACACTAACCACTGTCCCCCCCCCCCCCACCTTGTAAACAGTGTCGTAAATTACCAACTCCAGAACAAAAGAACAGAGAGAGAGTGACAGATAGACAGCCAGACAGAAAACACAACATCTGTCAATAAATCCTATTTGACTTAAGAGCAGCATTTTCACACATTCAAGTCAGAACTCAGCATCAAGAAGCCAGAGCATCCTCTGGTAAGAGCATCATCATCTCCGGTAACTATGGCCGCGGGAGGCTGCTAACCGCAGACACCAGCTTCCAAGACCAACATTATATACTGTCTCTGGACAAGTTTTGCACCCGGAATAACTGCTTTTTGCATCTGCCAAATTCTGGACTTGCAGCCAAGTTTTTTTTTTCTGTGGAGTTGTTCTCTAGTCTTCAGAGGACGGAAGGGATGAGGACGGAGGAGAAGCGATGGGGCGGGGCCGGACGGGATGGGGGCGGGGCCGGACGGGATGGGGGCAGGGCCGGAGGGGATGGGGGCGGGGCCGGACGGGATGGGGGCGGGGCCGGACGGGTTTGGGGCGGGGCCGGACGGGATGGGGGCGGGGCCGGACGGGATGGGGGCGTAGCCAAACGACATATTGGCGGGGCGAGACGACATGGGGCGGGGCCGGGCGACATGGGGGGCGGGGCCGGGCGACATGGGGGGCGGGGCCGGGCGACATGGGGGGGCGGGGCCGGGCGACATGGGGGGCGGGGCCGGGCGACATGGGGGGGCGGGGCCGGGCGACATGGGGGGGCGGGGCCGGGCGACATGGGGGGGCGGGGCCGGGCGACATGGGGGCGGGGGCCAGACGAGATGGGGGCGGGGGCCAGACGAGATGGGGGCGGGGGCCAGACGAGATGGGGGCGGGGGCCAGACGAGATGGGGGCGGGGGCCAGACGAGATGGGGGCGGGGGCCAGACGAGATGGGGGCGGGGGCCAGACGAGATGGGGGCGGGGGCCAGACGAGATGGGGGCGGGGGCCAGACGACATGGGGGCGGGGCCGGGAGACATGGGGGCGGGGCCAGACGACATGGGGGCGGGGCCAGACGACATGGGGGCGGGGCCAGACGACATGGGGGCGGGGCCAGACGACATGGGGGTGGGGCCAGACGACATGGGGGCGGGGCCAGACGACATGGGGGCGGGGCCGGGAGACATGGGGGCGGGGCCAGAGGGAATGGGTGCGGGGCCGGGAGACATGGGGGTGGGGCCAGACGACATGGGGGTGGGGCCAGACGACATGGGGGCGGGGCCGGGGCCAGACCGAATGGGTGCCGGGCCAGACGACATGGGGGCGGGGCCAGACGACATGGGGGTGGGGCCAGACGACATGGGGGCGGGGCCGGGAGACATGGGGGCGGGGCCAGACGGAATGGGTGCGGGGCCAGACGACATGGGTGGGGAGCCAGACGACATGGGGGCGGGGCCAGACGACATGGGGGCGGGGCCGGACGGATTGAGAGCGGGGCCCGGCATATTGGGAGCGGGGTCGGACGGATTGGGAGCGGGGCCGGACGGAATGGGGACGGGACTGGACGGATTGGGAGCTGGTCCGGACGACATGGGGTCAATGCTGGACGACATGGAGGCAACACCGGACAGGATGGGGGACGAGGGGTGGGGCCAGACAGACAGGATGGGGGCGGGGCCGGACGGGATGGGGGCGAAGCCAGTCGGGACGAGGGGTGGGGCCAGACAGACAGGATGGGGGCGGGGCCGGACGGGATGGGGGCGAAGCCAGTCGGGACGAGGGGTGGGGCCAGACAGACAGGATGGGGGCGGGGCCGTCCCCGGACGGGATGGGGGCGAAGCCAGACGGGACGAGGGGTGGGGCCAGACAGACGGGATGGGGGCGGGCCCGGACGGGATGGGGGCGAAGCCAGTCGGGACGAGGGGTGGGGCCAGACAGACAGGATGGGGGCGGGGCCGGACGGGATAGGGGCGAAGCCAGTCGGGACGAGGGGTGGGGCCAGACAGACAGGATGGGGGCGGGGCCGGACGGAAGAGAGCCGCGCTTAAATCAATCATTACATTTAAGCTGCTATATAAAATACTCTTAACTTTTTATATCTTCATATTTATATATTTTTCTATCTAATCAAAGTGTAGATGTTCTGCCACGCTGGTAAAAGTTGAAGCACGGTAATTTTGACGTATTTAGGCATCGGCCACAACAGGATAGGTTCTTACGGTACTGATTGGGCGAAACCGTTGCATTTTGTTACGGAGAGGTAAATCCTGTACCCTCCCCCCCCCACCCATCCTGGAACCCGTACCCCCCCCCCCCCCCCCCACACTTTAGTGCCATTTCTCTTAAAACTTGGGAGGGAATAGAGGTTAGGGAAGGAGGAGGGGGAACAGGGATATGAGGGGTGTTTGGAGGAAGGGATGGCTGAGGGGGTAAGGATAGGGAGGGGGGGCAGGCCACTGGATATGAGAGATTTCAACACGGCATTGGGTAGGGAACATGTAGGGAGACAGAGATGAACCACTGATGGGAAGGAAGCAGAGAAAGAGTGATGGAAACAGTGATGGGAAGCCTAAACATTACCCTAATAACCAGTCCCCCTTCTCCCCTCCCCCCTTCCTGCCTTCCCCCCCTCCCCGTCACTACCTTATAACTAATTACCATACCCATCACATAAATGTACCACTTACGGGCTATTCATGCCCGTGCCACCTCTTGGCTGGCTTAATCTTTATCAATCAAATCAAACGCATAAATGTATTTAAAGAGCAGCCTCGGACAGCTTATTTGGTCCGAGGCTATTTGGTCCGAAATAAATTACATATTAAAATATGTGTACAGTATTTAGGTGCATACATATGCACCTAAAAAATAAATCAATCAATATTACGTTTGCTATCAATATTAATGTTTACTCATAAATAACATTATAAACGGATTGGTGGATTGCGTACGAAATGCGACGTATTAGATGATAGGACGAATTGTTCAGTTAACAGTTCGTTCTCACTTGACAAACGTAAAATTTAAGGTGGTTTTTGGCCAACCTGCAGCGTAACAACTTATAGCCAAGACAGCCACTCCATCGCGGCCGATGCTCACTAGTCTGGGAAGCGTCGATAATGCGGTGTAAGATGCTGTTAATGGTAGACCAGACTAGGGCAAGGCTTCTTATGTGGAGGTCCCCGTCATAGGAAATGAAAAGTGTGTGGAGAGCCACAAATACACTACCATCCACCTGCTCCACACTACCCTCCACCTGCACCACACTACCCTCCACCTGCACCACACTACCCTCCACCTGCACCACACTACCCTCCACCTGCTCCACACTACCCTCCACCTGCACCACACTACCCTCCACCTGCACCACACTACCATCCACCTGCACCACACTACCCTCCACCTGCTCCACACTACCCTCCACCTGCACCACACTACCATCCACCTGCACCACACTACCATCCACCTGCACCACACTACCATCCACCTGCTCCACACTACCATCCACCTGCTCCACACTACCCTCCACCTGCACCACACTACCCTCCACCTGCACCACACTACCCTCCACCTGCTCCACACTACCATCCACCCACTCCACACTACCATCCACCTGCACCACACTACCATCCACCTGCACCACACTACCATCCACCTGCACCACACTACCATCCACCTACTCCACACTACCATCCACCTGCTCCACACTACCATCCACCTGCACCACACTACCATCCACCTACTCCCCACTACCATCCACCTGCACCACACTACCATCCACCTGCTCCACACTACCATCCACCTACTCCACACTACCATCCACCTGCACCACACTACCATCCACCTACTCCACACTACCATCCACCTACTCCACACTACCATCCACCTGCACCACACTACCATCCACCTGCACCACACTACCATCCACCTACTCCACACTACCATCCACCTGCACCACACTACCATCCACCTACTCCACACTACCACCCACCTACTCCACACTACCATCCACCTACTCCACACTACCATCCACCTACTCCACACTACCATCCACCTACTCCACACTACCATCCACCTGCACCACACTACCATCCACCTGCTCCACACTACCATCCACCTGCACCACACTACCATCCACCTGCACCACACTACCATCCACCTACTCCACACTACCATCCACCTACTCCACACTACCATCCACCTGCACCACACTACCATCCACCTACTCCACACTACCATCCACCTACTCCACACTACCATCCACCTGCACCACACTACCATCCACCTACTCCACACTACCATCCACCTACTCCACACTACCATCCACCTGCACCACACTACCATCCACCTACTCCACACTACCATCCACCTGCACCACACTACCATCCACCTACTCCACACTACCATCCACCTGCACCACACGACCATCCACCTGCACCACACTACCATCCACCTACTCCACACTACCATCCACCTACTCCACACTACCATCCACCTACTCCACACTACCATCCACCTACTCCACACTACCATCCACCTACTCCACACTACCATCCACCTACTCCACACTACCATCCACCTACTCCACACTACCATCCACCTACTCCACACTACCATCCACCCACTCCACGACTATCTTTAGCCTTCGAGGGCGAGAAGGGTGAAGGTGTCCCAGTAATTAATAACAACGACGCCCTTTTAGTCGCTGTGCCCATTCCTGGGGGTAGAGGGAGGTATCCATCATCTGTTTCAGTTACTGGTAGACTTGGGTATCCACCGGGAGTGGGTACGGTAGACTTGGGTATCCACCGGGAGTGGGTACGGTAGACTTGGGTATACCAGCTGGGAGCAGGTTACAGGCTACTCCGCTATACCTGTGATCAGGTAAGGTAGCCCATGGTTGTAAAGGTCACCAAAATAGTTGACAAACTCAAACAGCAAGTATTCTCAGCGTGTGTGTGTGTGTGTGTGTGTGTGTGTGTGTGTGTGTGTGTGTGTGTGTGTGTGTGTGTGTGTGTGTGTGTGTGTGTGTGTGTGTGTATATACACCCGAGAATACAGTTGTGTGTGTGTAGCCCTTGACACTACGGTCTATACGAGTGTGTTTACACGTAGCGGTGATGAATGCTGTCAAGTGAAGGGTGACTCGCTTTCATGTTGGGATGCCAATCACATCAATTATAATGTAATCAGTTTAAATGTGTTTTTTTCACAACTCTCTCTCTCTCGTCACCGGCTGGCCGGATAACCAATCCCAGCTGTTTGATATATAAATATCCGGACAGGTGAAACGGACGGTGTAGACGTTGAGTTTTCTTTTGGGTTCGAGTTGGTGACTTCGGACCCATGAGTAAGTTGGCTTAGGAACACTTTCTGGCTTCAAGGGGAAACATTGGGGGTCCTAAAAGGGTACTTTCCCGTCCTTCGGGTCACTTTCCGACTCATGCCAAAAGACTGAACAAGTCCCTCCCCCCCCCTGTCGATGGGCACAGTTCAGAATAATGACAATAATAAAATCAATTTGAGCAAGGCGGAGATTCGAACCCTCGACCTGGGTAAACTCTCGAGCCAAGCAAGTGACCTCCTCCCAACCCCCTGGACCACGACATGACACAAGTTACACGACTTGTGTTTTATCTAAACTGGAGAGCCTCCAGTTACGTTGCTTAAGGAGCCATGGTAAGGAATCTGGTATTAATAGTTTTCAGGACGACCAATAAGGTGGAGGATTAGAACAAGAGTCTATGCTCTTGTTTTTTGTTTCCCCTCGGACCTTGACTCTTATTGTACTTTTCATGGATATTAAATTACATTTAAAGAAATTGATCAAAATGAGTATGGACTCGTTTGTCAGTTTAGCTTTCTCCTTCCCCCCCCCCTGACCTCCGAGAAAAAACAAATTGCACACAACCGCCATCTCTGTTAGCGAGGCTGCTATTGGTCAACGAGGTTCTCTATAGCTTGTTAACGAGGCTCTTATTGGTCAACGAGGATCTCTTTATCGTCTGTTTGGTCGCCTGCTACACTGCACCTCTCCCAACACCCGTTAGTTATTGACATTAAACAACAACCATCTCTCATAGCACACATTTCCCCGCAAAAACTAATGATCTGAAATCTAAAAATAAAAAAGGGGGCGCACGAAATCTTCCAAGAAATTCAAACAATTCCAGTTGTCTTAATATATATATATCCCCGAGTCACTTGAGACTGTTACTACAGTCTACCCGGGCGGCGACACCGCCACACTCGGCGGGAAATAGTTAGCCGCACGGTAAAGTGGTACTTGTGACGGGGTGACGGACAGGTCAGAGTCGAGCAACGCACGTCCTCCTGGTCTGGCAGGTGAGACGTCTCTGGGACCCCTCAGCGAGCATCATCCAGGGTTGCCGGGCCCCTCAGCGAGCATCACCCAGGGTTGGCGGGCCCCTCAGCGAGCATCACCCAGGGTTGCCGGGCCCCTCAGCGAGCATCACCCAGGATTGCCGGGCCCCTCAGCGAGCATC